CATGTAAAATGCTTCTCCCTCCCTTTTCTTTCAGTCCACCAATCAACAATGGTTGACCTCTGCTCTACCACCTCTACTTGAGCTTGCTAGTCGGCCGCTTCGCCTCCTTTGTGCTGGGTGGGATTCCTGCTCCGGGCGGCAGTGGTGGCCTGATGCACCAGCTGCTGGCAGCAGTGGCGCGTGTGCCAACAGAGAGGGCTCTGAGTGCCACCTCTGGCACGCGTGCCATAGGTTCGCCACCACTGGACTAGAAGATCTCCAAGATCCCTTCCTGCCCTATGGTTCTATTTATTCTATGAATAGTCAAGTTTATAAAACCTTTCCACAGGCCAGCAAGGTTGAGGCCAACAAAATCATGTTAAACATTTTTGTTACTGTTGTTCTTGTTCTGTTAGTTGTCTAGAATAAGCTAGGGGTAGAAAGGAGTAGGAAGGGTTTGGCAGAATAGAAAAACATTAATAAGGAGAATGACAGAATATGAAAAACATTGATCCTGTATATTATGATACTGTGATGATCAACTGCCATTGGACGTGCGCTGATTTTCATATTGCATCCAACTCTAAAGCTTTTTCACCATGATTGCTGAAAATTTACGGCACAATTTCCCATTGTTATTAAAATGTTAAAAATAAGTTAATATTGATATTGAATATCATAAGCTTATTTGTATGCCACTTTAATTGAGATTTTGTTGTTAGAAATCACCCTGAATCCCATGGAGTGGCATGGCAGGATGCAGGTAGTCCTTGACTTACAACCATTTATTTAGTGACCGTTTGAAGTTACAACAGGACTGAAAAAAGTGACACGACCGTTTTTCACACCTACGATCTTTGCACATCCCCATGGTCACGTGATCAGAATTCAGATGCTTGACATCTATTTATTATGGTTGCAGAGTATGGGGGTCATGCAATCCCCTTTTGTGAACTTCAGGCCTAGGAAAGTCAATGGGAAGCCAGATGGACTCAATAACCATGTTACTAATTTAACAACTGCAGTGATTCACTTAACAACTGTGGCAAGAAAGGTTGTAAAATGGCACAGCACTCAGTTCACAACTGTCTTACCTAGCAATGGAAATTCTGGACTCAATTGTGGTTGTAAATCAAGGACTATCTGTATAAACCTAAGCCTTAAGGTAAGTCATTATAGCATATACTATAACATATGGTTTCAGCTATAATATTAGGTCAATCCAAAATGAGCACAGCATATATAAAAATCTGAAACTCTGTTCCCGAACCCAGAACAAAATATAAAATCCTAATTCTGTTACTGTATGTAAGTACAAAGCACTGCATTTAGCAAAGACTGACAGTTATTTTTAAAATCTTGGAATAGTTTTACTTTGTGATGAAGTACTATGCCTTCCAGCAAAATTTTTCACAAAAAAAACAAAACAAAACAAAACGAACACACAAATACCCTAAGTTTCTCTGTTTAATGTTCTTGGGATACCTAGTACATATTACATATTACAGAGTGATCAGATATATCAAACACTCATAGACAGGAATATCCTGAACTATTTCTCCTTTGGAGGATGCTGCCAAACCACCCTCAGAATTCTACTATGCTGTTCTGTGCAGGGGGATAGAATGATCAGGTATTCTTCACACCTTTGTCTCCTAGTCAAACATACCTGGAAGAGATTTTAAAAATATCAGAAAGCATTTGCTGAACAGAATGGCAAGCCTCTCTTGAAAGAAAAAAAAGCAGAGACAACATGGCTGCCTCATAAAATTTTAAACGTCCCTCTCACACTTTGATGTTTTTAGTCAATTATTTTCCCATTATTTACTTGCTTAGGAAAGCCTTCTGTTTTCTCATTTTTTAAAAGGTCCTCATCCCCTAAAAGTCTAACAGTTGGTTATTCCAACTCTTAATTCATAGCTGTGACTTATAGAGTTACATTCTTGTTCTTTATGTCACTTTTCACATCTGCATTAATGTAGTAAACAGTATTAATGGCAATCTCAGTAAGAAGGCTAGTGCTGTTTTAAATGTAGTATACAAGGTAATTGATTACCTGGAAGTTAACTGCTGAAAGAAAATTGTTAATTAGATGAAAACTATTTTTGTACTTTTAAAATACTTTCCTTACAGCAACAGAACACATTAGAATTTATTTAAACATCCTTTGGGCTCTATTGTAGAATTTATATTTAGATGTTCTTCTAATCTAAGTTATTCCTTCCAATATGATGTAAGCCAAGCGTGTTCAAAGTACAATTCTTATTTTGGTTGATGCAAATATTTAAATTAGAGATGGGCAATCTTTTTTGGTCTAAAGTCTGATTCAGTTTAAAATCTCACTATGGCATGCTGAGGGCTGCACTCCAATAGTGAGCAGGGTGAAACCTACATTAATATTTAATAAATTAAATGCATTAATAAATACATTAAACATTCTGTTTCTAAATGCAATCAGCCAACCACATGTTTCTAAAAAGTCTAGAAAAAGATCGTGAACATCTTAGGTACTTCCAAAATATATTTTTTTCTATCTTTGCATTCTTTCATAAAATGAATATAAATTTTGATACTGTTGCATCTCTCCCCCCCCCCACGCACACACGGAAAAACCTAGCTGTATTTCAGAAGAACAAAGGGAAAGCTATATGTTTACCTAGATGTCATGATTTCTGACTGACTAATCTCTAAAGTAAGAGAATTTGGATACACTACCAAAATAAAAATATCATGCACATATTCAATGTTACGTCAAATCATATTTTATGATATTAGAGCCATTCTAACAAAGCCATTTGAGCACCATGTGAATCCATCCTTGTTTAGAGTTAGCGTCCTACATAAAAATATGGGAAAAATGATTTTCCAAACTTTTGTAGCCAACCCCCACCGTCCTCCCAGCCCTATCTGCAATAAGAAACATCAAGCCCATAAGAATTAGTGAGAGCAGAAGTTTTCAGAAATGCCGCGCAAACAAAGTGTTAAGTGGAGATGCAGATGGAGAAGAAACCCAAGGCAACTCAATGATTATTCTCAGTGGCATGTGCTAAATATTACAGGATAGCAGAAAATAGAAAATGAATGAAATGGATTTTGGGATAGAGAACTTCAGCTGTTGATGAATAACAATCCCCATCTTCTCTGGGCAGTATGGCCATGGTGAAAAATGTAGGACCCAGAAGTTCAAAAAATGTGCAGTGCTACAGATTTCCCAACCGGAATGGAATTACAGATAGGTGGCAATTAGGGTGACTTCAAATAATATAATATTCAGTTTAGTGTGAATTGTAAATTGATACCAAGTTGTGTTTAATGCAGTTAATCAGTTAATGTCTACCTATGACATTAGAACTGAGGCAAGTGCATGTGCAATTTTAAATGCTATTAATCTTTATATGTATAAAATGGGGGAAAAGGAAGATTCTGTTAGAGGAAAACAGGAACAAATTTAAAATGAAGAGGTTTATTACTTTACAGCAAAAATTTGATGCAATTAAACAACACAAACATGGTCCAGGAAAAGCTATAATAGGACAAGAGGTTGAAATGTCTAATTACATGGCAGATTTTTTTGATTATATTTTGCTTTATATAATTACTCTGTTTAAATTTAATTTAGAAATTTAAATTAGAAGTACATACTTTTTAATCTTTATTGTAATATTTCATTAATATACAGTACATATAAAATATGTTTACAATTTTTTTTACTATTATTGAACTGGAAACAATTGCCATATTTTCCTTAGAAATATCACTTCAAGTAGTACAGATTTGAATAATGTGACCTTTTCATGGGATTCATTAACCCACTAGTTATTTTCAACATTTACTTTTGGATATTTAGTGTCATTATTAAAGTAAAAGCCAAACATAAAGAAAGAACTTTGTTCATAAAACGTATTTTAAAAATATTTTTATTATTTATTTATTCATTACATTTATTGGTTAGCATGTAATAAACAAAATAATATTTTGATTACTTCCCCTTGCCTATTTACACGCGAGCAAACCTGAAGTCAAAAAGATTTACTGTGGAATAAACATATATTGGATTGTACTGCTAGCAAAACTCTCTACTGTAGTTAATTAAAAATCATTCTACAATTATTCTTTGACCATTTGTCTTAAAAACTAATTTTCACCACGGCATTTCTGCCTGCAGTTTAAAACTGACTGAAGTAGCAGGGAAAATGTATGTATTGTTAGTAAATTTTGCTTATTATACATGAAAGATTCATCTGTTCATATTAATGCAGTCTAATAAAGCTAGCATCTAGCAGATACTGGAAGGACTACTGAATGTGTTTAAGAAATGTAAACATTTTATATCTACTGATATATGAATCAGTTTGGTATAATGGTTGAAATACCAGGATAGAAACCAGGATAGTGGGAGTTCTAGTCCTTCCTGAGACAGAAAGCCAGCTGGGTGACCTTGGGGCAAACTACTTCTGAAAACGTTTCCAAGAAAACTGCAGGGACTTATCTAGGCCAGTCACCAGGAGTCAACAGAATAACAGAGTTGGAAGGGACTTTGGAGGTCTTCTAGTCCAACTCCCTGCTCAGGCAGGAAACTCTTTAGCATTTCAGACAAATGGCTGTCCAGTCTCTTCTTTAAAACATTCATAGTTGGAGCATCCACAACTTCTGGAGACCAGTCGTTTCACTGATTAATTGTTCTAACTGTCAGGAAATTTCTCCTTAGTTCTAGGTTGCTTCTCCCTTTGATTAGTTTCCATCCATTGCTTCTTGTCCTGCCTTCATGTACTTTGGATAATAAGTTGACTCCCCTGAGATATTGGAACACTGCTATCATGTCACCCCTAGTCTTGCTTTTCATTAAACTAGACCTATCCAATTCCTACAACCGTTCTTTGTATGTTTTAACCTCGGCTACCTTGACTAAGCTTCCTACCGACCTATCTACTTACCTACCTACCTTCTTACCTACACACACACACACACACACACACACACACACACACAGCCTACACTGAACAGTAATTAAAAATACTCACATCAGAATTAAAGCGAAGTTGACACACATTGCAGGAGATGACTTGTTTCTTCTTTAGAGGAAGTGACACGCCAAATGTGTGGTTTATGACAGCTTTTTGCACTGGGTCCATCTAGGAAACAAATAATAGCATATCAATATTCCAAATAAAATCCTTTTGTTCTGAGAAAGTATGTTGTTAAAAAGAGCTCTAAATTGGAAGTAATGACTGCACTGAACTTACTTATTTGATTTTCTATTTGGCTTTTCTACTGTGGCAAGTTCAAAGCAGCTTATCAAATTTTTCGGCTGCCTTACCATTTGTGCTAAAGAAAATTGGTTCTCATAAGGAATATTTGTCACATGGCATTACTATAATCCCTTCCTGATCTGCTGGAGCTGATGGTGTTTGAAAGTGGATGGTGGCGGAAAATCTTCTCCTTTTGGTGTTGGGTGACGTCAGTCTCCTTACCTCCGGTCCTTGCTCTGGAAAAACTCAGGAATTCATGGCTTTCATGACAACCACGGGCTTGTCTGAAGTCATCTTTAGGCCAATTTATATGGGCGGTCATAATTTAGATCTTGTGTTTGCTTTAGAGAAGATCTTATATTATCTGGAAATGGAGAGGCTTTTCATTATTCTGTTGCTATGATTGGATCATGCAATTGGATCAATTGTAACTTGATCCAGTTACAGTTAAGAGTAACACACGATAATCACAGGGCAGCAGGCCTGATTTGGATGGCCCATCCCCAGTCCCTAATGGATCCTGTTGGGGAGTTTCCCAGCTCACTGGCAAACAGTTCAGTTTAGTGCCCGATAGACCACTGACATTGGGAACCGAATTGGATACTGGAGTCTATTGCCCACAAGCAACCTCTTGCTAGGTGCAATTTCCTGGCTGGCAACTTGGCTGCTGAGACTCTCTTGAAAATGAAACTTCAGAAGCAACACTTGAAATGCTGGAGAAAGACAAAAGGTACATTCAACCAATCTCAAGTATGTAATTATGTTGGGACCTTCACTGTGGTATTAGGCAGGTGAAACACACTTATTTTTCCTTCTTTATTGAAGTGGCAGACTATTGTCAAGTGGCCCAGTTCAACTTTACTAACTCTCTTTAAGGGGGAGTCATTAAACAGATTGCTCATCTGGCCACTATAATTATTTGCATAGCACTTTGCCAGCAAAGTCAGTTTGGCTCTTAATGGATAAAGTCTGTATTAATGGCTAGCTCTGCTGCCTGTAATTCTTTTTGTGCTGTGAGTTCTGAGAAAGTAGAACTAGTGAAGTTCTGCTGAATTAGACTATCCTCTAGCACATGTAGGTTGGACTCCTGCTCAGTCTTGTGGTCTTGAATAACTATTGTCTGATCTCCAGCCTTTTGGGATGAAGACTGTTAAAATGGTGGTGACACATTACCCTAGAGCCGAGGTTCCCAATCGTTTGGGCACCAGGGATCAGTTTCGTAGAGAGAGGTTTTTTCGCAGACCGGAGGGGACGTGGTTTTACACGTTGCCTGCATCCTGCGGATGGGGCTTCACTTGTTTGCACGGACTGGTTTCTGGCATGTCGCAGACCGGTGCTGGTCCATGGACCAGGGGTTGGGGACCCCTGCCCTAGTGGCTTTTCTAGAGACTTCTCAGTCTGAGTTCAGGCTTGGGTATGGGACTGAGGTGATACTAATCACTCTCCTGGATGAGTTCTATTGAGGCCTAGAGGGGTAATGCAGTTCTCCTTGTCTGCAGGAGAGGTAGGATATGACAGACACTAAAAGAAATACTAGAACTCTGATTAAATGTTATAAGTTATAATAGAATCTTGAAAGCCTGACAGTTTTTCCCCTCCCATCCCCCTTCTACCAAATAGAATCAATGTGGGACAATCTTGAATTTCTTTCTCACTTCCCTGTTTTCTGAGCTATTTTATGTTTTACTAATGGTTGCCACATGCTTTTTTCAAGTCATCGCTGTCCTTTTTTACATTGTCCTTTTATACTACTCAGCAATGAGCATGGAGGGCACAGTTTTATAGTGGTTCTGTTCATTTCTCTGTGGACAGGTTCGGTGTCTTGTAGTGGGGGGAAGAGAGATCAGCCTGGGGTTTCATAGGATGTGGTCCTCTCCCCATTTTTTAACATTCATATGAAATTGCTGGGGGAAATCATTTGTAGCATGTTAATGATACCATCATTATTCAGTTTGTGAGGGAGATGCTGTTGATATTCTATTCTGCTACCTGGAAACTACAAGGTTCTGTATGGGATAAAACTGCAGTAGAGAAAGAAACTTAATACAAATGAAAATAAATAAGTATCATTATAGAGAATTTTAGGGGATAACTAAAATCCCCTCAAATTCTCTATAATGATGCAAGAGAATTAGCAGCATTTTGGTAGTCATAATAAAATTGGATGGTTGATGTTTCATATGCATAGGATGAGCTATGCAAAATTAAGAGCAAGTCTCTCTCTACGTGAATTATATACCACTGTATTCGCATACTAGACTCCCAACTGTGAAGATTTAATAGAACATAAAAATATCACAATTAAAAGAAAATTCTTAATTACAATGACTACTTAATGTAACATGACAGCTCAAGGCAACTATCTTACCTCTACCCGAATATTTATGGAACAAGTCCCTGCTGCATCCCCTGCCCTTTGGAGATACTCATGGTTCCCATTCTCCTAAGGTTTCAGAAATACCTTGAGATTAGTTTTTGTTCTCTGGTCTAGATTAGGGTATCTATAGAGTTCCCATTGAATCTTTTCTCTGAATATTGGGATTGTTGTTTTGGCCCAGGCAGTTTTGTTCTCTGTGTAGGGTATACTATAGGCTATCCAGAATTCTTTTGGGGTTGGGTGGCCTTAACAAATCTAATAAACAAAGACACAAATCCATTTACCCAGCTTCCAGAAAGCTGTGAGGGTTGACGAAAACCTTCATTTGGTACTTTGTTGAAGCACCTTTGGCAGCAATTACAGCCTCAAGTCTTTTTGCGTATTTCGGGACAAGCTTTGCAACCTTGACTGGGGGACTTTCTGCCATTCTTCCTTGCAAATCCTCTCAAGCTCAGTCAGGTTGGATGGTGACCCTCCAGGTCACCTTTCAGGTCCCTCCAGAGATGTTCAATAGAGTTCAAGTCAGGGCCATGGCTGGGCTATTCTAGGACATTCACAGAGTTGTTCCTAAGCCACTCCTATGTTATCTTGGCTGTGTGTTTAGGATCATTGTCATGTTGGAAAGTGAACCTTCAGCCCAGTGTGAGTTCCTGAGCGCTGTGGAACAGATTTTCATTGAGGATATCCCTGTATTTTGCTCCATTCAGCTTTCCCTCAACCCTGATCAGTCTCCCAGTTCCTGCTGCTGAAAAATACCCCCACAGCATGATGCTGCCACCACCATCCTTCACTGTTGGGATGATATTTTGCGGGTGATGAGTGGTACCTGGTTTCCTCAAGACATAACGTTTAGAATTGAGGTCAGTCAGTTCAATCTTGGTTTCATCAGACCAGAGAATCTTGTTCCTCACAGCCTGAAGTCTTTCAGGTGCTTTTTTGCAAACTACAATCGGGCTCTGTTATAAATCCCAGATCGGTGGAGGGCTGCAGTGATGGTTGTCATTTTGGAACTTTGTCCCATCTCTACACAGGATCTCTGCAGCTCAGTCAGAGTGACTATTGGGTTCTTGGTCACCTCTCTTACTAAGGTCCTTCTCCCTGGATTGCTCAGTTTGACCGGGAGACCAGCTCTTGGAAGAATCATGATTGTGCCAAACTTCTTCCATTTGAGAATTATGGAGCCAACTGTGCAGCAGAAATCTGTGTTTTGCAACAATCCTGTCTCTGCAGGCAGTTTCTTTGACCTCATGGCTTTTGTTTTACCACATTATACATTGTCAGCTGTGAGGCCTTCTACAGAGAGAGATGTGTGCCTTTCCAAACCATGTCCAATCAATTTAACTGTCAATTCTAACTGAATCAGTTTACAGACAATTCTAAAATTCTGTTTTCACTTTGTCATTATCAGGTACTGAGTGTAGATTAATAAGAAAAAAATGAATTTCAACAACTGTAGAATCAGGCTGCAGCATAACAAAATTAACAAAAGTGAAGGGGGTCTGAATACTTTCTGAATACACTGTATATATGCAGATCATATATAGAGTATATATGTATATATACTGTATATATGTATATATTTAACAAGGAACAATAATAAGTAATCATTTTGAAACAAGAACATCTAAAAAAGATAGTTAAAAGGATGAAAGTCCAACATATTGTAGATCTGAGCTTGCCATTCTTTCTTGGAACACTTACACCTCAATTTGGAGAAAGGGAGAAATAATCTGTAATAACTCTAGTGATGGTTTGAAAGCAACAAGGTATGGGGCTTATCCTGCAAAAAACAGAACCCAAAGTTGCTAATTAATGGAACCATATGAACCTTGAAAATGAACCAAGTATTTGACAAATGGTTGATTAGGGGGAAGATCAAGTTCAAAGATAACATTTGGAGCTTGAGGCTGATAAGGTCAAAAGAGTATTCACTCCAGAAATAGAAGCTTTCAGAAGGAGAGTGGGATACTTGCTCTCCATCCTGGGTCACCCCTTGAGTGATAAAGTTGAAGATGATATTGAATAAACTGAAAAGACATCCGACTCATTACTGTCAAATTAAGAGAAATGAACATGACTTGTGCTAGAGACCAAATGTTCTCAGCAGATTCACCTTAATAACTGAGGGGAAGACAACGATTTTTGATCAAAAGGCTATTCTAAGCTAGAACATGGATATGAGATCTGCCTCAAAGGAACATCTTGAAGGAGAGAAATATCTGGGGGATGAGAGAGCAATTGCTATTTGTTACATGATTGGGCAAAGATATTATAAATGGCAGAATTAAAAGAAGAAGATGAAACAGAAGGCCAATATATATTACAGCCAGTGAATCTTTGGATGTTTCAGGGAGAAATGATCACTTAAGATCTTGGTGATCTTGAGATGGCCAAGGAGGAAGATATTGACTTTGTCAGTTCTGAAAGATAAAAGCGTAATCAGGTGATTTCCTGATTTTCCCTTTTCGAGACAGATTCCTATGTCTGAACAAGGAACGAGTGGACT